TTGTGTTTTAACGTCATCCCTTTTTCAAAATTAGTTCCACGCAAAATAATCAAAGGCCAATTTGAAGCACGCTTGCACACCATTCCAACTGTACTTAGTATCTATTGTTTAAAAAAAATAAGGCTCGCGCTTTCTCGATAAGACGAGATATTTTTATTTGTCAGAGGGCCATAGCAAAATTTACCGCGAAGATTAGATCACTGAATGTCAGTCGCCATTAAAATGTTAGCATAGAGAAGAGGCTTTATAAAGAGATTATTTGTTGAGTGATTACCGAATTTCAGGCCTACAAAGTGTTAGGATCTAAAGGGCAGTTTGGGTTCATCACATCAATGAGCGAGCATTTCTGTGCGACATGTAATCGTTTGCGCATAACCGCCGATGGGAACCTGAAGGTTAGTGTTACGATAACGATTGTATCTGTTTTGGCTTGGAATTGATGATAAAATTATAATGGACCGAGACGATATGATTCATTGTGTGTTGAGTCGTCAGCGAAAAAATCCTATTCTTACTTGAACACTGTTGAGGTTTGTCTCCACGGCACTGCAGAAGTGAGTATGCGGGAACTTCTGCGAAGCGGTGCTTCGGAGGAGGAGATTTCAGAAGTGATAGAGAAGGCGGTGTGGGGCAAAAAGAAACAACATGCGGGTAAGCAGAACGAATTTTTGTCAAATAGTCCATCTAAGGATGATTAATCTATATGGAGTGAGAGATGTACTCATATTATAGGGATGGAAAATCTGCAACATATGCCCAATCGTCCGATGATTCTCATTGGAGGTTAACTCGATGTGTGTTTGCTTCTTTAGCTCGGCTGCATCTGCAGGAATTCTTGTAAAATAAATCTTCAAAATCGAATTTTCAGCGAATTCAAACTCAACTATAATCAATTCTTTCTTGCCTCTGCTCCTCCCATCCACGTCAAACAGAAACACAAGACCACAGGGTTATTATTAATATTATGTTTATTGCGCAATACTCTTGCATAGACATTCAACATATGAAAATGTGATGACCGAGCCTAGAAAGATGATGTAAGCTTCACAATTTCGATCACTTTCCGAAGTCTTGTCAATGCCCAATTTTCTCACAGAACTGATTTCAACTGATCTAAGTTGCAAGCTGATT